ACGACTGTGCTGTAGCGTGCTCGGCGGCGGTTAAGTGCGTAGATTGATGCCTAAACCTGGATGTCATCGTTGGTGACAACCAAAAACACCCGATTAAAAACCATTCCCATATTTTATCGAGCGTAAGACGGGTAAGACAAAAAATGCTCAGGGGTTTAGCAAAAACACCTGACACAGCCGACATGGTGTGCCAACCCCTCTGCAGAGCGAGAACGACACGCAACCGAAAAGCCCGAAATAAAACATGTAGAGGCTTCAGAGCGGACGGGGCTTTAGACGGAGATGCTGTCAAAAAAGGAGGCATTTCCAACAAGTTAAACTATAAAACACGATACTGTTTCCGCGCTCAACATCCCCAGCCTTGCTTTTGGTGGAAAACCAGTAGTTAAATAGGCCTACGGGCTCAGTGTGTAAACACGGGTCGGGGAAACGGCTTGTTGCAAAGTAGAGTTTCTAAGAGCGTTTTCATTCCTGCAGTCCAGTCGATCGAGAGGACCCGCCAGAGGAACTCCGTAGTGCAGCTTCACGCTGAAAGTAACAAGCATTTAAAACGAGCACACACCAGAGGAAATCACTTACTGTGGTCTCAGGATAAAATTCGCATCTCTTCGTCGCGTACAGGTTGTAGGTCAGTCCAAGCGAGCGATTAGTTCCACAGAGGTCGAGTATAAATAAGTCCAGTTATTAGGGTATAATAGGAGCAACGTAGGCAAAAGGAGAGCGGGTCTCCAGCATTAATCTCCACTCGCTGGTGCGTAAAAGGCGACTGCGGTTGTGGACGCAGAGCTTTAGATATGATGTTGCAACCACCGAGGGGGAGGTAAGTGAGTTTTTATGAATGGGAGGGTAGAGGAAAGGAGAGGGACGAGACTGCGCAGATGCCTTGGATTTTTTTATTCTCAGTTTTGTGAATGGGAGGGCAGAGCGGCTCGGGAGGGCTGAAACGCGGAGGTTACATTTTTATGAATGGGGAGGACTCCGAATGGTATTGCGCATGCGCCATGCCGAGGTTTTTATGAATGGGAAGAAATGTCGAATGACGCGTGTGTATGTGTGTTTGAGGGAGAGAGAGACAGAAAGAGAAGGGGGTTAGGGATTGTGGAGGTGGTGGCTTTTTTGGTTACAAGGGCAATGTCAGACCTGTTTTACATAAAGAGTCGGCTCAGCGGCTGTTAATTTATTTAGGCCTATCTATGCAGCCCGAGCTTCCTGTTAGATGTTACAGGAGATGTGTTTGTGCTATTGTGTAATAGATGAGATAAAGAACGAGATGTGAGTGGGCTAAATCTACAGCCTGTTTATTCGTCGCTGGAAATTTCGGCTCCCTGATACTCGTGATTGGGTGCCAAAGCCTTTAATGAAAAACATGAAGATTCGGTCGTGGTTTATACTTCAGATAACACAAAACATCTCACCAAAGCCATATACATTTGCTGGAATATGAAACCAGTGCGTTTAATCAATGGAAATAATGGAGGCTTGAGGGCTATTTAATCATTATAAACACCGTATTCTCAACGAGGATATCAAGATGCCAGAGAATTTTTCCGATTGCATGTCTCAGCTCGATTAGAATAAATAATGGCCTTCCTGTTGTATCTAAAGCCATTTATTGTGAACAAGGACGTGCCCTTCCTTCCTCTGCCACAATGTGAGGTATGACTACAGCTTCTGTAAAAAAAAAAAGAAAAGAAAAGAAACACAGAGAGGAGAAGAGGAGGAGAAGGAGGAGGAGGGGGGAGGAGAGAAGGCTGGGGGGTTATAACGCCTGAAACACAAACCAGCATGAGGGCAGGCAGGATTCACAAAAGGACAGGATGTTGTTGATTTGTACCGAAACCACACGGAGGAAATGAGTGTGAATTTCCTTTCTCTCTGACATCCCAATGTGCGTGTGTGCGTGTGTGCGTGTGTGGGTGTGTGTGTGTGTGTCCAAAAAAACCTCCCTCCTCTCCCTCAGCTTGGGGCTTTTAACCAGTCAAAGGTTAACAGTTTCCCTATTATACATTTGCACACATCACCATGGCAACCATTACACCTCCAAATTGGGATTGTTTATTTGGGAAAAGCTTTAAACAAAGAGAGAGAACGAAAGGGGGCTGTGTGGATGTATCAGAAATATACTGTAGGTTAGCATCCATCCATGTCAGTAAAACACAGTTCTACCCAAAATAAATCAAATTCAATTTGCACAGACTACACTAGTTAAATTACACAGCAAAATGGTGAGTTTACAAAGACTTTATTAAGTATATAAGCCCTCGGAGGCATATTTGTGAGTTTATTTTTAATGGATAGTACACTTTATGGTGTTTTCTATCCTCTCTCTTAAAATATGCCTGTAATACCTTATTTATTTGGGGACTGAAACTGTGACTGTGGTATCTTTATGATCGAAAAATACAAGCGGCTTTTTATTTCTTGATGACAATTTCAGTAGCATTTTGTTATATAATCAGCCATGTAATGCATAGTAATATTTTGATATAGTAAATAAATCATCTGGAAGTATATGGCTAGACAGGGTGGTCTTACCGACTGTAAAACTGTTTGAGGCAAATTTGTATTTTGGGGCTCTATCAATAAAATGGACTTTATTTATACAGTGCTTTTATACAGAACAAAAAAATAAAATAAAAAACATGATGGCTACTGTTTTTAAAATAGTTTCTTGCTAATATCTACTGTATAGTATTGCCAAACAGCTCTATAAAAACAAAACGAAGCAGGTGTGATTTGTTAATAAGCCTAAACATGGTTTGATTTTCTGTCTGCAGGGATTTATTTCAGTAAAAATAACTGAATGAACTTTACAGATGAATTTTAAACAACTGGAATCTTTCATAATAGGCCTTGTGTATGTAACTCCTACATGGTGTCCTCTCCTTCCTGTCTTTCTCTCTCACACATACACATGCACAAAAACATACACTGCAGATGCTTGCACATTTCTGTCCACAGCTGTGTGGCTTGAAGGCATGGCCTACATGAAGTGCTTGTTGAACTGTAGATTTCTCTTTGGTGCGTTCATCCAGGCATAAATGCGCAAATGGGAAAGCCTAGATCTCTCTCCAGGGTCTTCCCTCCCAGCCTTCCTTCCTGCCACATCTGCTGGCTACTGCTGTGAGCCTGGGATTATAATGGACAAGCCCATCTGCTTCCAGAGCAGTTTGACATACTTAATGTTGAAAGTTTTTCCCATCCCACTGAGAAAACCTAACAACACTTTTATTATTTGTATTTTAAGACTTATTTCTTCTTTATTTTATCATTTTATTAAAAAATATTGTTGAACTCCTATCCCCAGCTCAGACTTCTTAGACCCAGACTAATCAACAAACATTTCAGTCTAAATCAAATTACAATGTCAATAGCTTTTTTGTTTGCCACTTAGTTCTATCACTTGATGTATTTCAGTTGTCTATTGGTGCTTGTCAGTCTTGTATTTCCCAACTCTTCCCAGGACACAGTAAGTTGGGAAAAGGTGTTAATTGTTCAATGAGTGTTTGTGTGTCTGCGAGCAACGTGTTAGGTGATAGTACTTAAATGCAAATCACTGTGATAGCTCAACAGAGTGCTTTTGGCCTACATCAAAAGCTTCCTGTTGCAGATAAGTCATAATTTGCTTCAACCCCCAACCGACACTTTACAGTATCAATGTCTCACCAATTAACAGTTCAGGACTGGATTTTGAAAGTCCTCAAGGTGAATTTCACACATGGTCACCAGAGAAAACCTGACAAGTTTGATGATCACACAAAAACTGATGGTAAAAGGGCAAAAATTTAGCAACAAGTTTGAATATTAATTAATCACAGGTGTGAGTGTGATTGATTGTCTGTTGGTTGGATTTTGGCTCCAGCCACTCCCATGACCCTGTGCAGAATTAATGGTATAGATAGTGGATGGATGGATGGGTATATGTCAGTGAAGTGGGGGGTACTCACGCTCCTCTGATGGAGTTGATTTTTCTTTTTAAGAGCAGGTAGGGGCCAACAGTTAGAGAAACATAAAATGTAATGACATGTTACAACCTACAGGATCACAAACTGAGCAAGCTGAGAGGAGCATTCTAGAAAACTCTATAGTTTGTCTAAAGTAAGAGTTGTAGTTCGATCATAAGGCCGGGTAACTTCAGCTCCTCAAATATTGACTTCCTTCCTCACTGGCTGCTGGTGTGTTTCTGTTCTTTGGAGTCAGGAAAGGTGTGTGGCCAGAGAGGTAGGAAGGGGAGTGGGGGCACGTGTACATGTGGTTGTATGAGTCTGTGTGTCCACATCCATCAAAATAAAGAGTATGATGATTTTGGCCTGTCTCGTTGCACCAGAAAAGGGTTCATTAGACCTAATTCACTTAGAGACATTAGGCCGCTCAAAAATTCCTGTAAAGAAATAACAGCACAGAAGCCAAATCAGTATCATTGGTTCTGCTGGGATTTTCACAACAAGTAGTTTATTAACAAGATGCTAAATATTGTATTGCCTTGGACTGGTTGACACTGAACACAGTAGTTTCAATTCAGTATCTATTACTAATCTCCCATAAATTATTTCAAATGCAAGTAACAATGAATAACATATTAATGTCTTCTATGGATATATCAAAATAAAGGTGCAGAAACATTTAGCATGTGTAAAAATAACCTCATGATGCAGATACCTATCTTCACTCTATTGTTTTTGCTCCATCTACATGCATTAGTAAACTACACATTATAGCAGGTTTTTTGTTGCAGCCTGCAAGTTTGTAAAGGTTCCTTTTAAACTTTTAGCTTCTCCTTTTTCAGTTTTCGGTTATTAAATTATCATGTTTATTTACTGTATATGAGAGAAATACATTCCAAAAACTCTGTCATCACCAGAATAAAAACATTTTGCTAACTAAACAGCTTTTATTCAACTTTATTTCACATCAGTTTAAAGCTTTACATTCATATTTGACATTTTGAGAGGAAAAATCATGACCAATAATTTGACATTATTATGCAGGAGGAAATCAGATTTGAGGCTGCAGATAAAGTCACACCCATGGAGAGAAAGGTCCTGGTCCGTCATTTTGTCTCAATAAGTTCCTGCT